AGCCGAGGAAAAACTCCATGCCAGGTGATACCAATTTCTCCCACCTTCACCATTCAAGTTCAAACGCCGGGCAGGACAACTCGTCTCTCCCCAGTGCGGCGTTACTCGCCACGCCCAGCGCCGCGATTACAATTGTCATGACAATTTTCCCTTTGAAATCAGTCAAACAATATGCCAAGGCGCTTCAGGCTCAAGACATCTTTGGTCTCCAGTAGAACTGTTCTTCTCCAGAACCACAGCGGAAACTCCTGGATCCTGCACGCGAGTGAGTCAATCCAGAATTACATGGGTGCTTCGGGCAGAAGCAGATACCAAAGACCTTCCCGAGCTCGTTGATGGATGGTTTCACCTTCTGACAACGGTGAAAGCAGCATTGGATGTTTCGCTCCTGCTTATAGAGGAACATTCGAGGAATATTTCATCAGGAAACTTCAACGTCTTTTCCACCCCATGGACCTCTGATTAGCGGAGTGGCTTGAGGAGAGAGAGGGGAGAGGTGAGGAGACATTGAGTGCGCGAACGAGAGACCAGACAGAACTTGCGAGAAGGCACAGAGTTGCACGGAAAACGAAGACGTAGAAGCTATGTGCAACCATGCAGCGACTGCAGCGATTCCGTCGGCATGGGTGGATCTAGTCTGAAGATCAGACTTTAGTCATAATCCTCTGCCGCCTTTACCACGCACTTTCAAGTGGCCAAGTGATACACTCTGGGCTGCAAACCTATTCATCGTATTCTTAACGGATCCTTACTATCAGGTAGACCAAAAATGTGCCTTCCAACAAAGTACTCACTAAAAGCTACTCATATGGTTGCATTCAACTGAGGTCATATAGGTAAGGATGAATATAACGACGAAAAAAATGCCTTGACCCAACATGCGCTCTATTGCTCCTCCTAAATAGCTTTTTTTATCAACGTAAAACACTACTTTACAGCCATTCAAAAAATGCAAAAGAGCAAACACATCAAGGAATCAAACCCTTGAACCCCACAATGTATCGACAGATTTTACGAAAAATTGAAAAAAACATCTCATGTAGTTGAGGGATAATGGGAAGTCGTGACCGAATTTAAGTTCGATGACAAATTATAGGTGAGAAAGTAATTAAGTGCGCTCTGTGCCCTATTTCAACCTCCAAATAAAAATGTATTTTTTCCTGCCGGATAGGAGCGACGCTTGAGGTGTAAGATGAAAGGAGATTGTAGAGCAAACTTGGGGCCTTCTCTATAGTCCCTGTTGTCCGCTACGGATGATGGGGCGTGTCAGGAGGAAGGGCT